AAGCACTTAATAATTTTGACCGGTTTTTGGACTGAAATACTCCTATGTGTGCCATTTTAATAATAATAAAATTTGTCGTGTTTTTTGAGGTTAGGAAAAAATTCTGATGTGATGGAGCAAAACAGACAGACAGATTCGTGTTCAACGCATTAAAATAAATACGGATAGTCTGATCATCGAAGAAAATAACACGTGAGCAAAAACATATATGTATTAAAATCCCACGCAATTTTTCAGCAGCTTAAGAGCTGCACTTTATTACACTAAAATTTAACAGGCTATAAAACTGCATACCCAAAAATTTTCTAAATATTCAGATTGAAAAGTTCAAAATTTTGATGAAAATTTGTTGAATTTTTCTAAGCTCTGTGTAAAAATGTAAAGTTTGATTTATATGATTTTGGTTAAGACATGAACCATATTTAAAAAAACAAAAATACAAAAAAATTTATCTTTAAAAACTTTTCAAATATTTTATAAAAACCGACATGCACTGAGTTTTGCACTATAGTGTATGTTAGCTTTGTTATGTTATGTTAAGTTCACTACATCGAAACATACATACATATGTACATACATACAATTATTAGGATTAAGTAACAATTAAAAAATTTATCAAGAAAATTTTCACTTAAATAGCGCACTTATTTGTTTTTTTTTTTATTTTTTTGTTGCTACTGCAAAATTTCTAACTTGTTTATTATAGACCTTTGCATCGAAAGCGAAAATACTAAGTAGGTACATACAAATTTATGCACATATACTATATTTNTACCTACTTATTACTAAATATAAATATTCTTATCACACTCACCTTTTTCCTGCTTATTTCCGCTATCGACTTGTCCTTAAATGCAGCTGTATCCTTTAGTGTTCAAATTCCAACCGAAAAGGAAAGAAGGTAAACGATAATTAATTGAAAATTTTTTGTACAATAAAGATTTGAAACAGCAATGCCTCTTCGACAACACTCACCTTAGCCATGTTCGACGGCTGAAACTGTAATGATAAATGCGAAAGCCTGTTTTTAGCGTAATTTAAACCGCTCAAACGTTCCCCGTTTAAAGTAGCTATGTAGTTATAAACATACATATGTATGTATGTATGTACATACCAGTAT